CGGCGGTGTAGTGTGGGGGGGGGGGGGGGGGCGGTGTTGGGGGGGGGGGGGTGTGTGCGGGGGGGGGGGGGGGTGTGTGCGGGGGGGGGGGGGGGTGTGTGCGGGGGGGGGGGGGGGTGTGTGCGGGGGGGGGGGGGGGGCACCTTCTGGTGGTCATGGCACAGCAGGGTAACCAGGGCTGGCCAGAACAGAACTTTAAAAAAGTTAGTAGTAGGAAGGGGTTTGTTTTTTCTTTAACGTTCCCAACACAAAGAAACAATGTCTGAGATGACAGACTCTGTGTGTGCGTGTGTGCATGCGTGCGTGCATGTGTGTGTGTGTGTGTGTGTGTGTAGTCATTACACATTGTATACAAGTCCTGAAGGGTCACACTATGTCCCACAAATATGTGTAATTACTATGTATCAATTTAAAAATACATATATTTTTTGAAGTAGGGCCTCTCCCCATTGTACTGTCTCTCATGGAGCTTGTTATGTAGACCATGGTGGCCTCGAACTCAGAGAATAAAGGTTGCAGCGTGCGCTAAAGGATGAATCAGTCCGTGATGGTAAGATTTCTTTATTCAAGAAAGCACCAGGGCAAAATGCAGGCCAGAGCGAGGTCACAGGAACCCAGCAAGCTCGGCCAGACAAAGAGGGGCCAGGGTCTCCACGTGCAGCCTTTAAGAAGCTTCCCTTACCTTAGTCACCGCAGCTTTCCTTCACCACGCCCTTATGGGCGAGTCCCGGGTCCACCTGGTACCTGTCTCAGGACTATTGGGCGGGGCTAGGGGGTCTCCCTACAATTTCCCTTTTAGTCTAAAAGAGGATTAAAACTTAATAGTGTAAAACGTCTAAACTTAGCAATCATAAAGGTGAAATACAAGAAGATACAATAATCTGCTATGACACATCCTATGTCTATTCCAGCTAAGTCTTAAAGTCATGTGGAAAGGGTGTCTAACTTGAACACCTCCTTCCAATCCCAACTCTAAACAATAAGAAGGTCATTCTTAACTAGGCTTACACTACCCTAATAAACAATAATGGGGAACGGGGGCGTAGCGTCTTCTAGGTTACTTCCTGCTGAAATGTGACGATGGTAGCCGTGTGGGGGCCTCAACAGTGCTGGGACTGAAGGTGTGCACCACCACCCCTGGTTTACAAAGGCCGCTAGATGGGGCAGGTGCACCTGGCACTGTCCTGCCATTGGGTGCCTGAGTTTCAGGCTTTGGCGTGGTCTCCAACTCTGCATCTCAGCTCTAACCCTCCCACTCTGGAGCCACTTTCCTAACAAATCTCTCCTGGAACCTCTACCCTACAAGGCAGAGAGCCCTACCTTCTCTTGCAGATATGGCATGTCCATACAGTAGCCCACAATGACCTATCTGTGATTTAGCATTGAGTTTACTGTGTGTGGTGGTTTGAATGAGAACGGCTTCCATAGGCTCCTCTATTTGAATGTTTGGTTCACAACTAGTGGGCTGTTTAGGAAGGAATAGGAGGTGTGGTCTTGTTGGAGGCGTGCCACTGAGGGTGAGTGAGCTTTATGGGTTAGAAAGGGCACTCCAGGCAGTCTCCGTCACTCTGCCTACTGTGTTGTGAGGTAAGCCCAGCAGAGGCCGCTACTTGGATGGTCTTAAAGTCGAATACAAAGTATTGTTAGCTTGCAGCTGCACAGGAAGTTTGCCACAAATATGCAGCCCTGAGCCTCACAGGCTTAGTCTTCTATGCACAAGCCCATATCCTGGCTGGCCCATTTCAGTTATGGAGAAGTGGAGCTATGGAGGCAACCCTGCAGGGTTAGCAGAGGCAGGGACTTCCACTTGGGAACCTTTAAAGCCACACCCTGGAACCACTGACTTAACCTTTGCTCCTGGTGCTGCCTGAATGCTGGCCTTCAAGGCTCGAACAGTGTTTGTATCATGGTGTCAGCTGTGCTAATTAGGGGCTGGGGGCCTGCTACATTTGCCTGCAGATCAACCATCTGTTACTGCAACTCTGTGGGGACATCCAGCAAAGAATGTTAACATCACAGACAGAATGCACAGTCAGCATTCTGTGCCGAGATTAATGAAAAACATGAGTCATGCTCATTTCTATTTTTTATTAAAATACTTTTTTGATTACAGAGACAACCAACGAGAATATACACGATTACATGTGTTGTAGGTCACATCAAATGCCATAAACAGACGCCTGGGAATGAACAAAAGAACTCATAGTCTCAAAGACGTTTTCCAAGAACAAATCTTTCACTTGGACCAATTCTTTTTCCAGAGAAGGTTTAGTCTCTATTTTGATGCTTGATTTACAAATACTTTTTAAAATATGCTAATGACAATCTTATTTTCTGAAATTTTAGAAATTATACTTTGGCTAGGTGGTGGTGGTGGTGGTGGTGCACGCCTTTAATCCCAGCACTTGGGAGGCAGAGGCAGAGGCAGGTGGAACTCTGTGAGTTTGAGACCACCCTGATGTACAGAGTGAGTTCTAGGACAGCAAGGGCTACACAGAGAAACCCTGTCTTAACCCCCCCCCAAAAAAAGTCATCCCTTGGTGTGAAGACCCTTGCATGGATAGCATCCTGTGTAAGCAAACGTTCTACTTGAATCAATGTTTGCGTTTGTACCATTAACACGAATATAGTTCCAGTCATAATCAGAGGTCATATGGGGAAGCAGCCTGTCCATGTCTTGCTACAGGACAGTGTGTGTGTGTGTGTGTGTGTGTGCGTGCATGGATTCACACCCTGCTGTTTTGTTTCTTGTTGGCACTCAGGGTGGAACCCAGGGCTGTGCCCACAATAACCAAGAGCTCCATCACAGGCTTCAACCCTGGCCCTTAAAATCTAGTGTTTTAAAATCTGGCTGTAATAAAGACAACATCATTTTTTATTGAAAAAGAAACAAACTTACAAAATTTTCAATGAATTAGAATATGCTAGAATGGTGCTACTAAATGTTTAATTTCAATTAAAAAATTACTCAGAACGTTGAGTACAGAACTACAAAGGGTTTTTTGTTTGTTTTTTGCTTTTTTGAGATGGTACCCTACTATGTACCCCAAGATGGCTTTGGTCCTTCCTTGTTCAGCTTCTCAAGTGGTGGGGACCACACAATCCTAGCTGTGAAAATAAAACCTGTCAGCTGAATGCTGCTTTTTTCTCAAGGCCTTGGAAAACCAGGAGAAATACACAAAACGTAAATACAAAATTTATCCATGGGAATTACTTCTAATGTGGAAAACAGGACGATAAAAAACAGTTAAAGCAATTGGTTTAAGAAACTGTTCACATGCCAGGTGGTAGTGGCATATGCCTTTAATCCTAGCACTTGGGAGGCAGAGACACCTTGGTCTCCAGAGTGAATTCAAGGACTACACAGAGAAACCCTGTCTCAAACAAACAAACAAACAAACAAACAAACAAACAAACAAACAAACAAACAAACAAACAAACAAACAAACAAACAAACAAACAAACAAACAAACAAACAAACAAACAAACAAACAAACAAACAAACAAACAAACAAACAAACAAA